TGTCAAATATATGGCCTGTAGAGCCCTACCACCCAGATCCTGGCACTGTCCCTCCATCTGGTCAAAGCCACATGAGGCACAGCATGTGCCTGTGGCATAGGGCTGGTCTGTATCTGGTCCACTGAAAACATACCAGAGTCACCAGCTGTTCTGGGACCTGTGCTGTGTGCAGCATGGATCCTAGAGTGGCCAGAATGGGCACTGTCTGGCCAGAGTGACAGCTGCGCTGCATGTGGTGTCTGCCCTGGCCACACAGTGCCCACTACAGCCAGTCTGAGATCTGTGCCACTTGCAGCAAGGGTGCTGCATTCAACACGGTCCCAGAGTTACCAGGGTAGCCACTGCATGCAGCATTGTGTAGCTACAGCTACTCCAGCTGGACTGTGCTACACGCTGCATCTGTTCCAGACAATCCAGGATCCGCACTGCATGTGGCGCAAGTCTTAGCCACACTGCTCTCTGGCCTGCAGGGCCAGATGAATTTAACAACCCTGGCGTAAAGATTTCTGGCTATTCATTACTGTATGCAAGGATTTTTCTAATTGAATAGCTATTAAAACATATCTCTGTACTTTATATCTAAGCCTTAACTAATCAAGATAAGTAATAATGATAAACTATAATTTGAGCTTAATCATGCAGCAAACCCTCTTGTAAACAAATAATTTGTTTACTCTAGTTAACTGTTGCGTTGCTTTTGAGCTGAAGAAACCCACTTTTTTCTTGAACTTTCACAGTACTTAAAGGTGAAAGCATAGTTTCAGTATAACTTGAGGCTGACCCCCTGTGTGATCCCTTGCTTTAACTACAGCAAAACCATTGAAAATGCAGCTCCCGGACCCTTCTGACACACTTAATGCTACTGCTGACATTCTAAAATCATTGTAGTGTTAGCTAGAAGTGGCACTACTTTATTTCTCTAAAGTGGTTTGTCTATTTCTATAGTTCTAGATTACTGTAGTGATTAATTAAAGCATTGTTGGTGTGGAACGCAAGTTTTTTTTCATTATATATTTACTAATTTATATCCTCCTAGCCAAAAGGCTCAGAGCAGCTTCTGCAAGTAATGTTGTATAGTAAAATTTTTCTTAATTTGTTATCATAAATACATTTTAAATATTCAGGCCCTGTTCTGTATTGCATACGTATATTGAGTGCTGCATTGTTAAATTTTGCAGTGTTTATAGGGATTAACTGTAGCTCACTTTGCCTTTTCTCCATCTTAGGTATAGGTTTGACCCACGTCTGATGTTCAACAACCATGCTGTTCAGGCTCGCAGATTTTCCATACAGTCTTCCTAACAGCATTTAATCATTTTATACAGCTGGCTGCCAGTGGCCATGTCCTCAGTGATTGCAGCAGGTCTGTCTCTAACCTTCACTGATTTGCAGCTGGAAGACTTGATCAACTGGCTGTTCAGACCTTGTTTTTGGAGGGGAAGGAGGAAACCCTTATCTCTAGCTGGTTGCCTTGTGCAATATGTGTGTTTGATAACCAAACTGTAATTCCAAACTCAGACATGGCTAATCTCTTTTGCTCAGACGTGATTATCACCTTGTCTTTCAAGTATCTTTTAATATTGCAGGGATAGGATTTGACCTGTAAATCTGAACTTCATATTTTGTTTCAATATGAATAAAGATAGATGACGCATTGAATCAGGTTAACCTGGACAGACTGTATTGCACAGAGAACTCTACCTGTATTCACTCCCTCTTAGACAGACTTTCCTAAAATCTAAGTGTGTACTTGCAGGTTTCCAGTGTTGATTTCCATTGCTAACCTGGAGCAAACTTCCATAATATGTAAAGCATTAGTCAGAACTACAGGATCCGACTAGGATCAGCAACATATTAACCTCCATCACTGAGACCGTTTCACACTAGGCTAGTCAGTCTCACTGGGCTGCTTTAGTAACTTTCAAACAAGAACATAATTTTATAGTAGTTCCCATTCAGAACATAAAATCAGTTAAGAGAGATCATTGGAACAGCTTTTAGAAGTTTCTAACATAGGCTTTTTGGCATGCTATTTCAAAACAAAATAGTGTTGAGACTAACCTGAAATGTTGGGTTGAAACAGTGCCTGTATGTTGATCGCAATGAGCCAGCTGAACTTCAGAACTGGAACAGAAATAAATATCAGAAAACAAAGAGAAATTGGGCACCACAATAGTCTGTCATATGTCTTCAGCCTCCAGGTGTCTTGCAAATGATTGAAGATCTGATCAACATAAACATAGTTTTAAATTGATTCTCTCTTGAGAGCCAAATAGCTAAAAGCCTTACTCGTCAGAAATCATAGTAAGATGACCAGTTTGGGTAGATGTAGCGCTTCCCTACATAGAGCTGCTTTTATGTTGACAGCTATTATCTATCTATTAAACTGCATTAAGTGCCCCTTACACCAAAGAACTGCAAGCCAGATTTCTGACCATGGTAGGTTGTCCAGCTTTCTGCTTTGATGAGATTCAGTTGTTTCTTCAGCCTACTGATATTTTCAGCTTTCTAAAGACTGCTTATATGAAACTCACAGATGATGGCTCTATCTTATGTGGAATATCAAATTCTTTTCTAAAGTCTAAAAAACACCAACATTCAGCACACTTTTTAAAGAGTTCATCTGCATAGAAAAGGAAGTTATTCAGAGTGGCTGCTGAGAACTGACTGCATTGTGTTGATGTCACAGGATCCAAGATTATTCTGCTCTAGGCTGTAAACTGTAGTTTAGTATGGAAACAAATAATTGTCAAATTGAGCTGTTGCAAATTTCTCCTTTCTCTAAGTCACTGGTTTTGATATAGTTACCAAGATATCTTTAACTCAGCTCCTTTTGTGGGGGAACATTGCCAGTTAAACAAAACCTTTTGCCAAGAAAGTATTTCAAATAGTCCCAAACATTCTATGATTTTTTTTTATAAGTTTAATTGCATTAACTTTTTTTTCATTTCAGTGTTGACATATCTGAGCCACTGTCTATGAAGCCTCTGCTATTCATCCTTCTTCCTTTTGTAGAAGGTAGCATACAAATAAGCGGGGGAGGTAAATTTACCCTTTCCCGTAGGAGTAAACTTTCATGATGCCATGCTGGTCAGGTTTTGAAGAGATTTAAATTCTGATTTGGAATGAGAAATTTAACTTTAGAGATTGGCAATCTGGAGATATGTGATGCATTGAACATTTATTTCTGCTGCAAAATCTCCTTAAAGTTGTAGGATCCAAACTTTAAGGGTGTGTTCCTATATGTATAATCTTCAAATCCTTTTCCATTAAATTAAGTGAATACTTTTGTGTTCCATTCATCAACTAAAACAATGGCTTTCAACTTGTTGTTTCCTTCTCCATTTGCTACCCAATCTATCCTGAGCAAATGTCCTTCAGTGTCTGGCATCTTCTGCAAATAGATCTCCTTGCTTATCACTTTTGTCCCTGACACCTTGTCTCACCTTAGTAATATGGTAGGTCCTGAGACTTGTTCCTACTCAAACTAAAAGCTCACTTTAAAAACAGTTTTGTTCTTTCACTTAGACTTGAGTTTTACTTTTCAGTTGAGCTCACTATATACTCTGGTTGGTAGCTCTAAGGTGTGAAAGGATGGGGGATGGAAGCAAGTCCTTAAATCAGGGTGACTGAAAGCTAATGGACACATTGCTAAAATGTGCTTGCAGGTTGTGCAGCAAGAGTTTTAGCTTGTTAACTTAAGTTGAACTATGTAGTAGTAATCAAGGCCTAATTTTGGGTTGGTTGGCTTAAGTAGCTCTTCTGTGTAGAAAAAGCTATTGTAATCATGACTAAAGGGTGACTCAATATAATTGCTCCTTAATGTTAGGTTTCCTTACTACAGTATGCTTGGTTGGAAGGGGAAATTTAACTGCTTAATGATACATGTTTGCATGTTCTACCCATATTGACATGAAAACTGATTGCATAGAACACACACTGAGTCAAATGAGCAAGTGTTTCACCCTTATCTAACATGTTCAACATGCCCCCCTCCCTTCTTTACCTAACCCTTTTCTTTGCTTATCTTGAGTCTGCCATATACCAATTTGAATTCTGCTATAAAGCAAGTGTGATTTGTCATAGAAAAAATGTACACATCATCATATTCCACTAGTGAGTTCTTTTCTGAGTTGCCAAAAAGTGTGTAAATTTTGGGGGAAAATACTTCTGAACAAACCTTTACTTTCAATGGCTTAAGCCAACTAACTGTCAAAGACAGGCAGCAATAATTAGATGCCTTGTCATTATAGCTTTAAGGTGTCTGCTCTAATTTAACATAGTGGGCTCTTTTCCAGGAAACAGTCATTCTTACTGGTATCTTTCACCCTTTTGAAATGGTCAGTGTTCACTTCTGGTTGTTTTTTTTTTCTTGACACTAGTTGAAATAACCATTGTGAAGGAACTTTAACATACAGCTGGGTCAGATTCCAAAACAGCAGGCTTCAGTCATGAGGGCCTTTCTAGATGTAACATTTGATTAAAATGTTTGAACACGGCTGTTTTTTACTTGCACCTTATTATTCAAGAGCCATCTAACGGGTGAGTGAAGAGGCCTTACTGAATAGTAGTCTCATTTCGGTAAAATGTGACTTTATTTTAAACTACCCAATTGTTTCCCAGGCTCTAGCCTGATTTAAAACAGAGGTACTATGTAGTATAAAACCTTGCAAGACGCATTCCTTTATTACAGTAGGAGCAAAACAAATCTCTTACCTAACAGTATTGCCACTTGCATGAGTGAACACACTTAACAAGTGCTTGCAGAGTCGATGAACTGATTTCTCATGGCTCGGGGAGCAAATGTTTTAATGCTGTCCCCTATAGTGTTTACCTTGAATCATCTACAAAAAAGGCAAAATAAGTTGTTTAAATTAAAATAATCTGATAAATACTGTTTGGAGTGATTACACTATACAAAGTAGATACACAAATGTGATTGTTACACTGCTGAAGATAATTCTTAAATCATTAAAATGCAACTTTATTTGTATTCTTGTCCATGTGGCATGTGATTGTACCACCCTCTGACTTAGTTCTGGTTTTTATTCTACTGTACCATAATTGTACTTTGATTAGAAAGTGCCCTTCAAAAGAACCCTGTTCACTGCTGCACTTTTAAAAAAGAAAAGAAAAAAATAAACTGTCTCCTATGACTATCTCATCCTTTCATTAGTGACTGAAGTTAAATATCTTTGAAGCACCAGATATTTTTAGAGGTCTGATGGTTTATGTCCACCAAATAAAACATGTTGCACTGGTATCATTTATAAAGCCTAATGAAATCCTTCTTTACGACCAAAACAAATCCTCTCTCTTGTCCTGTATCTTAGGTAGACAGCTCAGAACTCTGTAGCTATCATTTAAGAATTAATCAGGGAGGTATCTTGCAGCTGTTTGTGGCTGGGTTTGAATGTAATTTTTCAACAAGGGTTAACTGGAGGCCTGTTTTAAAATGGGGTATAGCTTAAGAGTGCCTTTCCAAAGGGATTTTACTGGCTGTTTTATACAGGAAACTAACTGTGCTCTAGGGGTGCCTGTAAATGTGCAGGAAGGCTGCTTCAATGCACTGTAATTAATTGAGTCTGCTGGAACATGCTAATTGGCATGCCTCCACTACCATTTTAAAGTGTGGGGATGCTGATACCCAAGATGCTGCAGGCACTTTAATTCGAGTGGCTCTGGGAGCTGTTCTAATTAAAGCCCCAATGTAAAAACAACTTAGGAGGCTTGTTCTTAAACTGGAAGCAGTGTAGCCACCCTTGTAGGGTTTGAGTGATGATGGTAGTTATAGAATCATAGAAAATTAGGGTTGGAAGGAACCTCAGGAGGTCATCTAGTCAAACACCCTGCTCAAAGCAGGAGAGTCCACAACTACTCTGGGTAATCTGTTCCAGTACTTCACCACCTTTCTAGTGAGAGAGGTTTTTTCTCATATCTAACCTAAACTTCCCTTGCTGCAACTTGAGATCATTGTTCCTTGTTCTGTTATCTGCCATCACTGAGAACAGTCTAGCTCCATCTTCTCTAGATCCACCCTTCAGGTAGTTGAAGGCTACTGTTAAATCCCCCCTCAGTCTTTTCTTTTCTTTTCTAGACTAAATAAGCCCAGCAATTGTAGCAAAGCTTAAATTTCTCCCTCAGCCTCTCTTCATAAGTCATATGCCCCAGCCCCCTCACCATTTTCATTGCCCCTCCCCTGGACTCTCCAATTTGTCCTCATCCTTTCTGTAGTGGGGAACCCAGAACTGAACACAGTACACCAGATGTGGCCTTACCAGTGCTGGATAGAAGGGAATAATCACTTTCCTTGACCTGCTGGCAACATTCCTACCAATTCAGCCCAGTATACCACTAATCTTCTTGGCAACACAGCCATACTGTTGGCTCATGTTCAGCTTATTTTCCACTGTAGCTCCCAGGCTTCCTGCAGAGCTGCTGCCCATCCATTCACCCCCAGCCTGTCAACCGGTGCATGGGGTAATCCGTTGAAAGCTGATAGTTCCACGTGGGTGACCTAACTAAATACAGTGGAGAATGCTTCCTGTAGTAGAATCCACAGCATTGAGCCAGCCCAATCTAGCCATGCACTGCTTGGAAATTTGGTGGCAGGAGAACGGTAGCAGTATCTGTAAGCACTGCTCCCCCACTACCAAATTTCTGCACCCATGGGAAACCCCACTGGCCAGAGGATGTGATTCAGTGGTCTGTATCTAATGCTGATATAGTATAATTTTTAATGCACATTTCCATTTGGGAATCACTGACTTAATGCTGCTGGGATGCATCTCCCTTCAGCTGGGACTCTCAGCATCTGAAATCATCTCTTGAAGGTAGGCTCATAAACCCTGTACTTTAAAGCACTCCTACAAATTGAGAGGGTTTTAGTCTTACTGTTCAGTCATAATCACCAGGTTACAGGCTATTTCTGATCTAGTTAATCCTCAGTTGAAACTGTTTTACTTCATGCAGAATACTTCATACTTGCTCTTCCTTGATGAATTTAGCTTTCTAGTCAACTGCATGCGTTAGGTGGAAAGGGAAAGACTGGCCTATAGTCCTTGGAACAGGGACTTGGCCCACCTCTGTCTCTGGGACATGCAAAGTACAGTAGTTTCAACAAGGTAGTTGAGTGCCCTTCCACTCTAGATTGCATATATAGTACTGTGTTTTGACACTCACTTTCCTCTTAGGAGGATGCAGATCCAAAGCTTGCCCACATCATTCTTTACCTAGCTAAAATGGGTGGAGCAGAGGCATCCCTTGTCTCCTACAGCTGCCCTCTGAAGTGGCTGCACAGCTGTATTTGGTACAGAGCCAATCTGCTAAATGTGATATGAACTTGCACTATGTCAAGTCTCTGAGCATAAATGGGTATATGGATATATAGTCATGGCTCTGGAGAGGCTTAAGACTCAGTTTCCTGGGTCTGTCAAAACTATAGTGCTTTTGGGCATACCCAGAAGCAGTATTGCAGGGATTAGGGAGCTTAAAAAATCTATGTTTAGGGTCCACACACTTTTTGCAGCTCTAGCTCCTAGTTTTATTTAGTACTGTATAAAATCATTTAGCCTGTGCCAGTAAGAAACAGAATTCTGTTACACAGATGCTGTAAAACACCCTACAGAGTCCTAAAGCAGCTCTTTAAATGTATAATAATTATAAGCATACTCAAAGCTAACTTAAATGACTGAGTATTGGTCCTACATAGAGCAGATGAACTGCAGCATAGCTTAAATTTCTACCTCAGCCCTATTTTCCCCTGTAGTAATGTTTTTACTACTAAACTTCAAATTAGTGATAAGCAGCTTTCCACTGTTAAATTAAGGGTGAAGTTTACTCTGTTGTAAATTTAAGACTGGATTATCAATTCAGCTATAAGAGTTACAATATAATGTGCAAAAAGGAACATTCTGAAAAATGCTTTTGCTTCTTTTACAATATGCCCAAGCAAAGGACGGACAAAACTTAAGTGTGGCTATCATTCTGTAGCACCACAAAAAATGGCAGTTCTGTATTACCCAAATATACTTCTTTCCCATTGTGCTCAAGAATACCACTAATGGTTCATGTTACACTACCATCAGGGTCATGGAATGGCTCCATAAATTCTCCTTTGTTGTTATTTCTAAGAAAAAGCTATGTTTATAAAGAAATATAGAGTGATGAGGGAGTATTTGTTTAAAAACAAACCAGACAGCTGTTATTTAAGAACATGCTCTGTTCAAGGAGGAGCTATTGAATACAAAGGAAGGTACTCTATAAAGTAGTAAACTTGTTCTGTTACAAGATTCTGTTTACCCTTCTGGTGAATTCAACTAGAGCTAATGATTGTCACTGACCTGTGTAACACTGGCTCGCTGGTAAGGCCAAATACACTCTCAAGAAAGTAGGCTTTGCTGGGAAAGTCATGGGTTAAGGCTTTCAAATAGCTGATTTTAAAATGTGTTATTAAAATACAGAAGGTGAGTACTTGGGGTATAAGATTTTTTGATTCGAGGATTGTGGGGCGGGGCAAGTCTTGTCTTTGTATAGTACCTAGCAGAGTAGTGTTTTGGTAAACAATGAGCCCCTTGTGGGTAACCACAATCGGAGCTTGTCAGGACATTTTTCCTGTTCCGTGAAAATTTGAGATTTTAAAAATTTGTTGTTTCATCCCAGAGCAAATGTGTCAAATTTTCAAAATGAAAGCCAGGGGCAAATACTCATGCACCAAGACACTGGCCTGGAATCTGGAAGAAAAAGGCCTGCTCTGCACTTTCATAGATTCTAGGGTTGGAAGGGACCTCAGTGGGCCATCTAGTCCAACCCCCTGCTCAGGGCAGGCAAGATAAAGGGTCACCAAACCTGGGTTCGTTTAAAGATTTGCTGATGCAGCTGTGTCAGCTAGGGCTGTGAAAAGTTGCCACCCCCGTTTCCACAGCCATACCAGCGAAAACCACTTTATCTGGATGCCGAACTGCCAACAGCTTCTGCTGGTTTTGCTAATGCATGCAGAAAACCACCTGGTATATACTGGATTTCCACTAAGGGGCTGTACCTATCACCATAGCTGTTAGCACAGCTGTAACACAGGCAAGCCCAAATGGTTTGCTGGAACACTTCCAACCAATTTAGACAGAGCAGTAATGCTATACAGGATCTCATTTACTTTTCCTTTGCAATACATGTCTTCAGGAAGGGCTAAAGACCTACAGCATCCAGAGGAGGAGGAAAGAAACCAGGAAAGTGAATAGCAGATATTCCAACTCTGCGCCACTTTTTGATAGTCTGATATCTCAGTAGCCGGGTAGGGTATCCACAAATCCTTCTTTAACACCTGCACTGATCCACTTAGCCAATAGCTGCCAAAAAAAGGCAAATTCATATTTTTATGCTAAGTGGCTACTGAAAAAGGCAGCAAATTGAAACGGTACAGAAGATTCCTTAAAATGTAAAACAGAGTTGGGCAACTTCAGAGTGGCCAGGGGCCATATGCCACATAGTGCACAGGCTCCCTGGGACCTCTGCCCTGTGCAGTTCACCTGTCCTACCTTCTGCCACCACCCACACACACACTGTTGCTTCTGTCACACCCAGCAGCATGAGCAGCACCAGCCCTCACCTTAGGGCCTGAGCCCCTAGCTGGCACCCCTGCCATGACAACGGTCAGCTCACCAGGCCAGACCCATATCATTCTGTTAAAGCAAACATATTCACAAGGCTTCCTCCTACCATGCTTTTTTGTCCCCAAGACCCTAAGCATGGCAGTAGCTGGGCAGGAGCCTGCAGGCCATATGTTAACACCTTGCAGGTCAGGTGTGCCCTGCAGGTCACCAGTTAGGCAGTCTTGATGTAGATGAAAGGGCTTCACCAGAATCAGCACCTTTATATAGACCTATTTCAACTAAAGCATTTCCACCACCTGAACACCCATCAGCACCCTAGGTCATTTATCATTTATGTCATTTAAATCTGTTTCTCAAAAGTGCTGCAAAATGAAGATGCCAATATTAAATCATGTAATACCATAATGAAACATTAATAAAACGTCAATACTAAAATTAGCTCCAGTTGTGTAGCTCAGCAATATTCAAGAAAAGAAACCTATGTGCTGAATTCTTTAAAGCCACCATACAGTGTAATACACTTTGGAGAACTAGGAAAACAGTGATTCCATTTAAA